TCTCTCTCTCTCTCTCTCTCTCTCTCTCTTCTTCTCTCTCTCTCTCTCTCTCTCTCTCTCTCTCTCTCTCTCTCTCTCTCTCTCTCTCTCTCTCTCTCCCTCATCACAGTCCTATCTACCTTACTCTTCGAAGGGCATAGAGGTAGAAGAAGAAGGGTGATTGCACCTGTCTTGATCACATACCTGTGATGGAAATATACGCTAGCGAGGAGTGCAGAGGTTGATGTTTCCCCTTGGGGACTGGAAAAGTATACAAACACCTCAAGTATGACAAAATGGACATGCTAGGTTCAACAGAAATGAGGCCAAAGTCGGGAAAATGGTCAAGGAGGCCGTCTACTATAGTATATACTTGGCGTACTCCACGGCATAATAATCACAAAAACGATGAATAGATGTAGAGAGACAAGTACTTGTAGGAGAAACATGACACCACAGTTTCCCGGGATGAAGATGGGTCAATGGTCTTGTCTGCTACAAGGGGGCCTTTTAGCCTGTACGCGACGACGTGTTTCTTTGCTTGGCTACTTGGAACACTAATACCGACCTACCTCAGGTACCTAGGTATGAGTGATGTTTCCTTTTCTTTTACCTGACCTGACCTTAACATCCTTGGTCTGATCAACAGGACCCAATTCAATCATCGGCCCGAAGGAAGCATCAGTATACATTATTACATACCAGAAGAAGACGAGAAGAATCAGAAGATTGTCGGGGAACTGGAGGTACATGATGGTGATCATTCGCGGTCAGCAGACTCAGCACCTTGTTCAATCACTTCTTACTATTGGTGTCCTTCTCTTCTTCTTCTTCTTCTTCTTCTTCTTCTTCTTCTTCTTCTTCTTCTTCTTCTTCTTCTTCTTCTTCTTCTTCTTCTTCTTCTTCTTCTTCTTCTTCTTCTTCTTCTTCTTCTTCTTCTTCTTCTTCTTCTTCTTCTTCTTCTTCTTCTTCTTCTTCTTCCTCTTCTTCCTCTTCTTCTTCCTCTTCACCTAGTAGCCTAGCCTAGACTAACAAACAAACTAACCTTAGTAGCACCTTCACTCCATCCGCTGAATGAATGGATAATCATCATTACCGATTACACAAAAACCCAACCGAAAAGACGCCATGATCCATCGTGTAACCTTGCTTCGGCGATTTCTGCACTAGTCAGTCTATGGATTAGTCTAAGAGGGAAGTTCCTTGCTGTGGGTGGCCTATCTCTCCATTTACCTATCCCTATCTACAGGTACATATCTATCTACACTTGTACCTATGCATCTCTCGGTAACCGGCATTCGGTAAGCAACGGGAGAAATCAGAAAATGGACAATTCCGAGAAATATCCCGTGATATGATGACGATGATGGTATACCTAATAAGTAACCTAAGGTAAGGTACATGTACGGAAGTACTAAAGTAGATGTGTGAGTGTTGACACTGCTGGAGCCTGAGAAGATCTTCCCGCTCCGCTTTAAACTAACTTGACTAACTTGACTAACTACGCTATCCTAGGAAACACACACATCTCTACAAGTATACAAGTAGTAGCCTCCCTCCTCCTCATCCTCCTCCTCCGAATGGCATTTTTCTGCAAAAAGAACAAGAAGAATCATCTCCCTCCCCCCCTCTCTCTCTTGACCACACTTCTCCTTCTCTCATCATCCCTCAGCATGAAAGTCCACAGTTTCGTCCTTTTTCCCACCTTCTTGCTCTCGCAAGTCTCGAGAGCTGTTCCCTCTTGGGATGATTACTCGCAACATGCCAATCATGCACCAAATAATACGCTGATTTCGGATCCGGAAGGGAATAAATTGGGTGCTGTGGCTAGTCAGTCGGAAATTTGTTCGAATATTGGAGGTGATATTTTGAAGCAGGGAGGGAATGCTGCTGATGCTACTGTGAGATTTTTCTTTTTTTTTTCTCTCTTTTTTTCTCTTTTTTTTTCTTTTTTTTTTGGGTGGTTGGGGGAGAGGAGGGGAGGGAGGGAGGGAGGGTGGGAAGAGGGGTAGAAAGAAGATGAATGCTGACATCTTCTGTTGTTGAATAGGTTGCTACGGTTTTGTGTGTGGGAGTGATTGGGATGCATCATAGGTAAGTTATGATTATTACCTCATTCAGCTTTGCAAAGATGCGAGAAACAGACTGGACTGACCACTTTTCTCCAAAAACAGTGGCATAGGAGGCGGAGGTTCGTCTCCATTCATCTCTCTCTATCTCAAAATTACCACCATATAGACGATCATGGACATATATCCTAACATCCAAAAAACACAGGTTTCATGCTCATCCGCGCCCCCAACGGAACCTACTCCTTCATCGACTTCCGCGAAACCGCACCAGCGGCCGCTTACCAAGAAATGTACACCAACAACACCGACCCCAGTCTCTACGGCGGCCTCGCCAGCGGCGTGCCCGGCGAACTCCGCGGGCTCCAACACTTGCACGAAAACTACGGAGTTTTACCTTGGTCCAGCGTCGTCCTGCCCGCGGCGCGCGTGGCGCGAGAAGGCTGGATTATCGGAGCAGATTTAGTACGATATATGAATTCCGCCTCCTACACCAATGCCTCTGTTGTAGGGAATTTTTTGGTCGAAGATCCCAATTGGGCGATTGATTTCGCTCCCAATGGAACTCGATTGGGTCTCGGAGATCGCATTACACGGAAACGATATGCGGCGACTTTGGAAACTATTGCCGCTCTCGGCGCGGATGCGTTTTATACAGGACCTCTGGCATCTACATGGATTAATCACATTCGAGCCACAGGAGGCAACATGACACTTTCGGATTTAGCAGATTACAAAATCGCAATCCGCAAACCCGCAGCAATCAGTTATCGCAACTTCCACATTCACAGCTGTAGTGCACCTTCCAGCGGCACAGTAGCCATGTCCGCGATGAAAATTCTCGAAGGATACCCTTCCATCGGCTGGTCCAGCACCACCAACCAAAGCACCCATCTCTTCGACGAAGCCCTGCGTTTCGCCTATGGCCAACGCAGTAATCTCGGAGATCCCTCTTTCGTGCCCGGACTAGAAGAATATGAACAAGATATGCTCTCCCCCGAAACGGTCTCAGCGGTGCGTTCCAAAATTAATCCTCGCCGCACGCTGAATGTCTCGGATTATGACCCTTCGGGGTTCGAATCGTTGGAAACTCCAGGGACGTCAGCGATTACTGCCGCGGACAAAAATGGAATGGCAATTGCACTCACGACCACCATCAACCTCCTCTTCGGCTCCAAAGTCCTGATTCCCGAAACTGGAATTATCGCAAATAACGAAATGAACGACTTCTCCGTCCCGGGGTCCAGTAATGCTTTCGGCTACATCCCCAGTCCATCAAATTACATCCGACCGGGTAAACGTCCCTTGTCGAGTATCACACCAACGATAGTCGAACACGCGAATGGGACATTATATTTCTTGACCTCGGCGGCGGGGGGTTCGAGGATAATTACTTCGACGGTGCAACAGTTGTGGAATGTGTTGGATCGGAATCTCACGGCGGCGGAGGCGTTGGCGAAACCGCGTTTGCATGATCAGTTGGTGCCGAATCAGGTGTCGTTTGAGTATGCGTATGATAATTCTACGGTGGCGTATTTGCAGAGTTTGGGGCATAATGTGACTTGGGTGGCGCCGGGACAGAGTGCCTCGCATCAGGTCAGGAGGTTGGCGAATGGGACGTTTGAGGCTGCTGGTGATCCGAGACAGGTGGATAGTGCAGGAGTTGCTGTGTGAGGACATGTGACTTGAAAACGACATCAGAGAGAGAGGGAATGCATGTGTGCACATACATAGAGACGTGTTCTACGAACACCATTCATGACAAAAGTAGACAGACATGAATAGAAGAAGAGGAGATACGGCCTTTTTACCTACCATATCTATCCACCAGCTTCAACGACAGCCGATGCGAACATGCAACGAAAAAAGTCGTTCTAGGCTCACGTAGCCTCGCATTGGCTGATACCTCCTAATTCGTCCTTGATGAGCAGACGAATATGTGCCAACCCGGCCGCATTGGGAGAGCACTTGATATCAATCAGAATATCCTGCAGCAGTCATCAGTATGCCCATGCTATATGAAAGCTGAAACAAACAGTCACGATGTGTATTTGTGAATATGATTCGATTTCGATCATTCAGGAAGCAAAAACTCTCGGCAGATGCTCCTTCTCAGCAGCGCTGCCCCATGTGTATCGAGTGCAAACGCAAACATGCAAGTCAAAGCTCACCATTGTCGCAAGAGCCTAGGACAACCCCAAAGCATGCACCTCTCGAGCCCTTTCCCCACGCAAGGCCACCTGGCGCCGGGCTGCATTCTATTGAGCCATGGACGCAGGCAAGCTTCGCGGGCTGTTCTGCGCGATTCCCATCGCCCCGGGGCTGCCGCCATTTCCAAGAGTGTTGACACTTCCCGAGGAGCTCAGCCGTTGCATTTGCGGCGTGTTGGAGCGCGAGGAAGGTCGTTGTCCATTAGCTGCGGCGACCTGTGACATCTGATTGACGTTTTGATAGGGAGACTGTCCGGGAGAGACAGCGGCAATGTGTGGGCTCGCGTGGGCAGCGACGGGACTACTGTACAGCTGTGCTTGATTGGTGTTTGGGCTTTGCATCTGCCGCATTTGGGGCATTTGTCGCTGTTGATTCCTCATCAGCTGCGCGCGATAGTCTTCCTGCGCCTGGCTTGAAGCCGGGTTGCTTTGAGGGTTGATGCCAGAACCTCCTTGCTGTTGTCCATTGGCGCTACCATTCATTTGCGAGTACATCCCGTTCACCCCATTGGAGCCATTGGTGCCGTTCGTCATCGAGCGCTGATTGTACGATCCTTGCTTTTGGGAGTATGCCTGCGCGGACACACCGTTTTGTGCCTGAGCCGGTATGCCAGAGGCGGCATTCATAGCAATCTGTCTGGCTTGTGTACTGGCTTGTTGTCCAGTCTGTTTGGCCAGTTGCTGAATGGCTAGCACATTCACCTGCTCATCCGACAATGATGGATTCGCCGCCCGGACTTGATTTGTGACAGCATAGATCTGTGGAGTGTGGCCTGACGACAGCTTCTGCGGCGCGCCCTGCGGCGTCGGAGGCGGTGGCATGCTCGGAGACCCGTTGATCTGCTGATTCGTGTTGTGAGTCATGCTGCCTTGCTGTTGTTGTTGTTGTTGTTGCTGCTGCTGCTGCTGCTGTTGTTGTTGATGCTGCTGTTGTTGTCGAAAGGCTGCCAGGAGAGCATGGTTCTCTGCAAGCTGTTGCTGTGTAGTCATGCCACTGACTTGTTGGTTTGGCGCCGTGTTGTTGTTGGTGTTGTTGCCCACTACCGGATACTGTTGGCCAGAATATTGAGCACTTCTCTGCTGGCCGTTAGGCTGCGCTTGCATATTGGTGTGCTGTGTCATCTGGGGAGCTCGCGGCTGCATTTGTGCTTGCGGCACACCCGGCCCGTTCATCTGCGGAGGCGCCAGATGATGTCCATTTCTATTCGACAACTGTAAACCTGCACGGCCTTGCTGCGACGCTGCCATTTGTGCATTCATATTGGGAACCTGCTGCCCATTGGCTTGCATCTGAGCTTGCTGAGCAGGCATGTTGGCCCCCGGCGCACGTGCATGGCCAGGGGCCATAGATTGTGGACCACCAGCAATCTGCATTTGCGCGGCGGCACGAGCTGCTGCCATTTGCTGTCTGTGCACCTCAATCATCTTTGCGCGTGCCTGTCGGGCTTGCTCGGCTTGAGCGGCGTCTCGATCCGCACGCTTTTTGCTAAACTCTTGCGGAGTCATCTTGACCTGGCGAACGGGTGGATTGGCGTCGTTTTGTGACTTGCGTTGAGCGGCGGCACGAGCAGTCTCCGCTTGTTTGAATCTTGTAGTTTCGCGCTTCTTGGCCAATTTCCGGAACCCGTCGACCATCCACAAGTATCTTGTTGAACGGCGCTTCTCTACTCGAGTCGGCGTGGTCTTGCGGCGCATGGGTACGTTGCACGGTGTACCATTCTGCGCAGCCTGTTGTTGAATGACTTGCACTTGCTGCTGATAGCGCCGCTCCGAGGACTGTTGAGCCTGTTCGAGTCTGCCATACCAGGTCTTGAAGTACACCGTCTTGCGCATGTCGGTAGGCAATGATTCCAGATCGACCCATCGCTCAAAGCACTCCCAGGGCGTACGTCTTTCGACTGCGCTCTTGTATCGAGTAGCCGTTGTCATCTCGTCCGCTATGAGAGACCAGTTGAAGGAGTAGTCTTTGGCAAGCTTGCGAAGTTTCTGGTCGTCTTCCCATACCCATTGTGAGCCTGAACGATATTCATAGAAAGCGGTATTCGGCATCAGGAATTCCGATGGCGGTCTGAAGGCATTATTGGAATGTAGGCGATCACGAATCGGCCTGTGAATAGGGTCAAAGAGAGCACAATCTGCGCCTTCTTGCTCAGGCTGCGCTGCTGCGCGCAATCTCTTTCTGCGCGGGTTCGCCTCCAGAATCTCTTCTTCGTCAGCGTAGTCGTAGCGACTCCGCTTTTGTGAAGGTCGAGGTACGGCAGGGAGCACTTTCCCCTCGACATATCGGGACACAGCTGTACAGGGCTCGACGCGATGTCTGGGGGTGTGCCGCAATGCACCCGCCTGTGGCAACGCAGCTAGAGCTTTCGAAAGCTTTCCCGCCTTGCGCAATTCGTCCACCGCCTCCGCGAGCTCGAGGGGTACTACCACCGTCGTGGGAAGAGGGGAGCCCTCTCGAGGCGTGGGTGGACTCACATCGTCCTCGGGTGCAGAATCTCCCGCGTCAAGATCAGGCACGGGGTCCTCTTCGTGGGAGCCTGAGTTCTTCGTGTTCAACTTCACTTGCATGTCTTTACGTTCATTGGCAGTGGCATGGTACCAGTCGGCACACCTCTGCGCCAACCACGCACATACACTCTTCTTCATCTGGCGCTCAGCCTTGAAGTCCTTGCGCATCCATTTCATCTCCTCCATCATATGGTCGTGATGAGTCCATGGTTGGTCGGGCTCCTTTTGCTTGTCCATCTGTCGAAGCGACCATCTATTGGCGTTCTGCAGTTGATAGATCCTCTTCAGCATCTTAAAGTCCAGACGTTCGTGCACTGACGTATAGTGATCCTCCGTAGACAGTGCTTTGGGTACCATCTTGATCAATTCCGGCAGAGTTCTGGTACGTGAATTGGGCGATTCATGTGCCTGTATTCTGAACAAAGGCTCCAGATAGTCCTTTTCGGGGTCGTCGGCGGCGCCCTTCAAGCTGTCGAGTTGGTCCATGGCAAGTTCAATGTCTCCCAAGTTTCGGTCAGTCCCTGAAAGACGTGACTGCCGCGCTGCTTGTGTCAATGGGGAATCCCGAAGTGGGGGTGGTAACACAGGCATATTGCTGTGCTCGGGGGGGATTCGTTGAATCAGAGGTGAAGTTAGCTCCGGTGAACGCATATCCTTATAAATTACGGGTGTGCTTTCGATAGACTGTGAGCGCCCGCGATCCTGTCCCAATATCTCAGAGACGGACTTTTGTCGTATTGCACCAGATGAAACTCGCGTCGTCATTCGAGGCGGCGCGGACGCTACAGGAGTTGTACGTCTACTGGAGGGAGCGCTCGTTTGTTGCTTCACGGTGTCCATCGAAAGGTGAGGCTTTCCGCGACGCGCTACAGCAGTAGTATCGCCATCGTCTGCCGTCTCTGGCGGCGTCATAGAAGTGGTACCGGCAGCTTGCCCAACGGGATCCGCACCTTCTTTTTGCTGCTCTGTTCGCTGAACGACACGTTGACCGTCTTCCATCTCCTCAACGGCCTGCTGCGCTTCTGTTTGGCGAGACGAAGTATGAGCATCAGGCTCTGGTCCACCAACATCCTCACGAGCAGCCCTCTCCGTCGCCTCCCTGGCTGCAGCGGCACGTTCCTCCCACTTTAACTGATCATCAGGCGTCGAGACATCTCCCAGTGCTTGCTGACGTGCAATCTCTTTCTTGGCTTCCAGCAAACGATGGTGCTGTTCCGTTTCGCGCAGCTGCTGCTCGGTGGGCTGTAGATCCGAGGGTATTTCCACGGCAGCCTCGGAGTCTGGTGAAGTGTCGGGCGACTCCTGCGCAGGCTGTGGCGTTGCAGCAGAATGCGCACCAACGGTCGACGATGGAGACGAAGCAACTTCCGTGTGCGGAGCAGCAAGACGCGACGTGGACTTGGCCTCGGACTCAGACCGACGATGGTGCTCGGAGGCTTCGCGCTCACGCAACTTTTCCTCTTGCACTTCCTGCGGCGGCAATATCCCGCCGATGTTGGCAGGCTGCGATGGCAGTTGTTGGTCCACGAGTTGCTGTGTCGGTTCGGATAGTTGGGCGGCTTCTTTCGGTGATGGCGGGGCGATGTCGATGGGTCGTACGTCTTCTGACAGATGGTCCGGATGGTGAGAAGAAGCAGCAGCAGCAGCCTTGTTGAGATTGGGCAGAGGTTCCAGGGCTCCGGTCGCGTCGTCTGGAATGGAAGGCGCATGCTCATCTGCTTTCGCCGACACAATGCCTGATAGAGGCGGCGCAACAGCGGTGGGCGTTACATTTCGGGTGGCAGAGGGGCCAGCAGTCACACTGTGGGGTTTTGGTAGGGATATGGGAGCGTCATGGAGTTGCTGGGGCGGCGTGGAAGCAGGAGAAGGTCGAATGGTCAGCTGCGTCGTCGCGTCGAAGGCTCGGCCACTTCGCATACACGTGTCAGCCCCGGCCGCCTGGTCGCGATATTACCCAACACGAGCGTCAACATACCTGGAGAGGTCATTTTGGTGCAGAAAAGCAGTCTCATCGTCGGTGATCTTATCTGCATCAAATGTCGCGTGCAGCAGCGATTGGAGGGCGGTGTTGTCGTGGATAGTATTGTAGACGGCCAGCAGGGCGCGTAGCTCAGCGGAATGCGACGACGCAAGCGACTTCTACCGCCCGACGGTCAGCATCACCACGCGCCCGATTTCCATCAGATATTCGCGCCCACACCGGCATAGACTAGGCAGCATGCGGTGATGAGGGTGCGGTGGGAATATGGGCAATTGTACTCACTAACTGGCCCTGTTTCGCCGTGGTTGCAGCATGGCGAAGCTGGTCGACCGAGGACATGAACTCGTACAGCGATGCGCTCGCTGCACCGGACGTGCATTAATTCAGACGAGCGTCTCGCGCGGGAATAGAGGAGGAGGAGGAGGGGGAGAAGAAGAGAAAGAAGGAAAAGAAGAAGTTGGTAAAACAAAGACGAGTTGGTGGTGGTGGTGGAGGCAAGTGGTCACTCAGTAAGTAGTGGTATGGTGGTGGTGGTGGCAGTGGCAGTAGCAGTGTGCAACGACGAGGTTAGGGTGCAGTGCGGGCGTGGGAGGTAGTGTGCAGTGTGCAGTGTGCGGTTCTGGGTGGAAAGTCTGGAAAGGTCCCGCGGTTGAAGTTGCGTTTGCTTGTTCAGAGACCTCAGGCTCAGGCTCAGGCGTGTACCTAAGGTAATGTACTCAGGTTCCGGTTTGGATGATGATTAGGTGATGATTGATGATTGCATTTCTCTTATTTTCTTATTTTTGCACCTGCTGCTTTAACTTCTTAGGGTTCTTGCCTGTTCCTGCCTGTCTGCCTTGCGTCTGCCTGCCCGCCAACCCGCCTCTCTGCTTCTGCCTGGCTTTCGGCCCACCCTTTCCGATTCTCAAAATTCTCAATGCAGTTATTGTAATTTATCCCACCTACCTAGGTATACCTGAATACCCTGATTATTTGCACACTGCTAATACGGTAATACCTCTTCTGCCATCACCCTCCCGCCGACTGGACGTGCTCCCGTCGTTCATCATGGCTGCTGTCAGCGGAAAGCGCAAACGTGTCGAGGTGGTCAGCCAGCAGAAACCCGTCAAAAAGGCTGCGCTGTCACAGCCGAAAAATAGTTCGGCTACCACCAAATTTGACCCTCAAAAGAGCAGCAGCAGCAAAAAAGCCTCTTCCGCCGCGACGAATACTACCACCAGCGACGGAGCAGCGACCTCGCAACACCCCGTCTATATACAGATCGTGACGGGATCCTACGAGCGTGTATTACACGGCTTCCAGGCAAGAATACCGCAATCAGCTCTGAAGTCCGCATCCCAAGACGAAAAAGTCTCCATTTCAGACACCTTCCTCTTTGCTGCCCATGCCTCAGCTATTCGATGTCTGGCCATCTCTCCCTCGGAAGATGCCGACAAGCGCCTCCTGGCCACCGGTTCCTCAGATGAACGCATCAATGTCTACACCTTATCCACTGCACCACCGCCTCCAGGTGCAAGACCCAACCTACCCTCCCTCTCCGGAGTCGCTGCAGCGGAAAACCCCAGGAATAAGTCATTGGGCAGTCTGGTGCACCATGATCGCGCCATCACCAAACTTCAATTCCCCATCAAGTCGAAACTCTTCAGCTCCGCAGAAGATTCCACCATAGCAATCTCCCGAACTCGAGACTGGACCATGTTGGGTTCCATGAAAGCTCCTGTACCGAAACCGCAAGGCCGACCTTCGGGAGATACAGCCGCGCCAGGAGAGATTCCTGCTGGAGTCAACGACTTTGCCATCCATCCGAGCCAGAAGCTTATGTTGAGTGTGGGCCGAGGCGAAAAGTCCTTGAGGCTCTGGAACTTGACGACAGGGAAGAAGGCTGGCGTGCTGAATTTTGAAGTCGACCTGCTGAAGCAAGTGGGTGAAAGCAAATTCTCCAGCGGTGAGGGCAGGAGAGTCATCTGGGATGCTGCTGGCGAGAATTATGTCGTGGGATTTGAACGTGGTGCAGCACTCTTCGGCATCAACTCGAAGCCGAAGGCGGTGATTAAGCCGGATCGTCCGACAAAGATTCATCAGATGCGCTTCATGTCTCTATCAGAGAAGACGAGTCTGCTGGCGTTATCTACCGAAGATGGCAGGATACTCTTTTACGATATCCAATCTGGTGGCGAGATATCGGAAGGCACCAAACAGCTTCCCCAACTGGTCTGTGTTGCGCAACTAGGCGGCGAAGCAGCTGGAGTCTCGGGACGTATCAAGGACTTTGAGATACTGGACTTACCAGGATCCTCCCTCTTCGTCACAGCTGGCAGCGATGGAGCAATTCGTCTATGGTCAGTGCAGTCCTCCGACTTGGGAAACGGCGCGGAATCGGAAAGTACGACAAGACAAGTCGGAGCCCTGATTGCCAGCCACGAGACTGGTGACCGAGTGACCTGTCTGGGGGCCTTCTTACTCGACGGGAAAGCCCAAGATGGCATGGAAGATGCGGCTGAAGACGTGGCGGAGGCTGAATCGAATGGCGGGGCGGAAAGAGGTTCGGAAGATGGTGATAGCGATAGTGACTGAGGCCACCACCACCACCACAAGTCACGCGAACCTATGGGGAAGCAGTGTAAGACTAGAACGTGCATTTAAAATGATTTGGAGAGAGATGTCTTTTACCGTTTACCGTTTGCCGTACATCATTTCGTTCTGAAGACAAGGTACAAGTATGCAAGATGACTTTGCTAACAGTTTCAGTCGTCTGGATTGATGCCGTCTGTTGTCGCTAACGCATGTCACAGATGTCGAGGCATCGTATAAATCAATACCTACAGGTACATGTAGGTACAGTATGATCAAAACCTCCTCTCCAGCTCATGAAATGCGCCCGCCACTCGTCGTTTTACTTTTACGAATCTATCATCAATCATCAATCATCATCATCTTTATCATCTTTATCATCATCATCATCATCATCACCCCATCACTCCCATCACCTCATCACTCCCATCACCCCCACAACCCAACAAATCCAACCTACTCACTCCCAAAAAACCTCCACCCTCCCCCCCTTCACTCTCGCATTAAACCACTCCACAACCTCCACCTTCTCCCCCACCACTCTCGCCCCCTCCAAAACCCCACTAACCGCCAAAGCCTTCGTCGCCAAAACCAATTCTCTCATCGCCAAATTTCTCGCTATACACTGTCTCGGTCCCAAACCAAAAGGGATCCAATCGCGAGACATTTTTTCTTTTGTTGGAGAAGAAGAAAGCCAGCGTTGAGGATTGAAGTCTTGCGGATCAGGGAAAATTATGGGGTTGGAATGGAGAGTCCAGGGTTGCAGGGAGACTTGGGTGCCGGGGGGGAGGAAGTATGTTTTGGTTGTGGGTGAGGAGGAGGAGGAGGAGGAGGGAGAAGTATAAGTCCAGCCTTGAGGGGGAACTATACGTGGGAATCGGGTGGGATTGGCCATTGATGTGCGGAGGGTTTCTTTGACGATTGCTTCTAGATAGGGGAGATTTTGTTCTTCAGAGGAAGATGATGATGATGATGATGTTGTTGCTGCTGCTTCAGAGACTTCTTGTTGAAGTTTGGCGTAAATGTCGGGATGTTTGCATAAATTCCATATAATCATGCTCAGATTCATTCCCGTGGTATCGGTGCCTGCGAAAATGACGTCTTTCATTTGAATCTCGGTTTCTTCGGGGCTGATGCGTGCGGTGGTGAGGAGGCGGGTTTGATAGGACTGGAATCCACCCTCTTCTTCTTTTTCTCTTTCCTCCTCTTTTGGACGAAGAGGTGAAGTAGGCAGTTTAATCAACGGTTTGGTAAAATTCGAAACTCTCTCCGCACTCAACTTTTCTTCCTCGGTAGGCGGGAAAAGTTTTTGATACAGTGCAAAAACAGGAACGAAGAGGTATGGCGGCAGGAAAAAAAATCGTCCAATGGAGACAATATCATCCACGTATGCCGATGCCGAGAGCGGTGTAGACGCCGTATCCTCGCTGCATCCATTGTAGGATTTGCCAAAGAGATAAGACGAAACTGCATCGAGAGCGAAACTCCTCGAGAGATTGAGAACGTCCACGGGAGCCGCTTTCCCACCAGTCTTCTCAGCGGTCTCGCGTGCTATGGCAATTTCTCGACGAAGACGTTGAATGAATTGATCGATACAGCTTTCAAGTACATGACTTCGAGACCGAAGCGCTGCCGTGCTGAAAAGCGGCATGACGGCTTTACTTCTCTGGGCGCGATGCACAGGATCTAGGTCACTGAAGATAGTCTTGTGGCCTTCGGAGTCGAAATTGGCGTACGCCGGGGCCTTGAGAAAACCTCCCTTTTCGGAGTAAATAGGTGCCAAAGCCTCTCCTTCTGCGAAAATGACTTCGTGGGGGCCGATTCTCACGACAGGGCCATATTTCTCGTGTAAAGCGTGAATCTGGCGAGATTCGTCGCCGATGAATGAATGGTACCAGCTCCATAGGGGGGTCAGCCGACATATGAGTGGCCCGGGAATGGGTGAGAGGGGGTCGCTGTATGTTCTGTAGAAGACATAGTAAGCCAGAGGCAAGGCAGTGAACAGCAATACCATTATCGGGATCGATGTCCCGGGGAATGGGCCGTCCTCAAAGCTCGGGGTGAACATGATCTTGGGTAGGTCTGGGTAAGTGAGTGAAAGGGAGGCAGTTGTGCCGAATGTCACATGTGTAGTCGTAGTATGTAGGCAATAAGTTAGGGCAAGAGAAAATGCGGCGTTGTGGCAAGATAGGCCAGGACCGCCTGGTCGATTACGAGGTATTGATCAGCAATTTTATGCCGCTCTAGCTAGTAGCAGCTATTAAGTAGGACTTGACATTTCCCCTAATGGAATAAAGTCAATATATCTACCTTATATACTTATCTTATATTAATAGATACTATTCTACAGGATATACCTTAATTCTTACTCGAGACGATATTTGTTGAGAATATTAACAATACTATTAGCAGAGACGAAAATATGTTGAAGCGCTTTAGCTGTATATAGCGTGTGAATCTGACATTGAAACACATAAACTTGATAATATGCTATAACGAGTTACCAGGTGCTTGTAGGGCAACATTGTATATCCAGGCTATCGTCCAGACATCAGCATGCCTCAAACCATTCCTGCGCTGAGAAATCGTCAACAGTACAAATTCACGCCGAGGCTGTCTCTCGCGCGCAGCCTCAATCCGATTACTTCTTCGCCCACGGAACCAATTCTGCAAACTCTTCCTGCTCGCTGCGACTCAAGTGAGGCAGACCTTCCTCCAGCAATTCTTGAAAGAACGTGCGACCTCTGTCATAGTCTTCATTCGCAGTATACCCGTCTCGGCCCACAAATCCTTCCAACGACGTCCAGAAGTCGGCCTTTTTGTTCCAGTCAGCTGAGACACGGTCATGTGCGTCAATTTCCTCGCTACTGAACCGGATAGGACATGGAACTCCCGTTTGTAGCTCTTCCCAGTGTCTGACGGTAATGGTTAGCAGAGACGTCAAGTTTCGGGAGAAGCAAGAACTTACTGTTGCAGCTTGTATAACAACTCTCGCAAGGGAATCGTCTCCCCTTCCCAGACATCTGAAGCAAAAAGTACCAACTCTCTTCGTGTGCGCGCCAAGGGTAAATCGAACAGTCTCAGAAGAGTCGGATTGTCGGTTGTGGTCTTTCGGGTATAGTACCAATACAATAACGATCTTTCGACTTTGTCAGTTACCTTTGCTTTTTCTTGCTTGTCTTCCATTCCTTCGTAGTAGTCGGGCAGCCGCAACATCATCTCCCCATAGTATTCAACAAGCTGGGGGCGTCTTTCCTGCATGAAAAGCGGTCCCACCCAGCAGTCCTGCCAGTCAATCACGGATGTGATTTGCCCGTTATTGACAAAGATGTTTGGAGTTCGCAAATCCCAATGGGACAGTGTAGCCACATCTAAGCTAGGGTCGTTTGGTGGAATGTAAGGAATGACTGCATCGAACTTGTCGAGGAGTTCAAGACGAGCTTCAGAGGAGTCTAAGAGGTGAAGAGGATCTCCATCAGAGGCTTGAGTGATTTTCGCTGAGGTCGTCTTTGATCGCTCCCTTTGCGAAAGGGCACGAAGGTAAGTTTGCGCGTCAGGCCCTAGAGGATCAGATAAGCGATTGTGCTTCGTCAGCACTGGGTGTAGTCTCACAAGGTCCGCGATCAAAAAGAGCTGATGCTAATTCTGGTTGCCAAAACGACTGTTCAGCGGCAGGCCCAATTGCAAATCGCTCTTCTGCGTATGCCCTGGCCGCATCTGACAATTGGCCAGTAAGTTCAATGTCCAGACAGCCTTCTATAGCATCCGACTTGAAGTAGAGGTTGCCACATCTATATCGACGCCGTCAGCGGTGGATATAGGAGTCAACGGAGCTCAATGCTAACCTTGAAAAGATTGCAGACTGCAATTTCTTCTGCATCGCCACCACTTCAGCGACGATCTTCCACTTATCATCAATTCTCATGTCAGTCCACAGCTCATCTAGTCGTGTACCCTTCGCTTCTTCCATCAAGATGTACTCAGATTCTGCACTATTGGAGATTCCATCATCCCAGTCCAGAACCTTCGGCACTGGAATGCCGATGACATTCTGGACCTTTTCCAACGTGATTAGCGATGTATACTAAGACTGACTGGTGACCTGGGGTCGGATCTCACAAAATTCATGGTAGCGACTTCCGATGCAATCACTTGAGATGCCGCCGAGCCAATGTTAGGAAACGGAATCCTTGCAATCACCACGGAGCCATTGTCCATTGCAAGCCGGAAGACCTTATTGAAGCCTCCCTCAGCGAGCTTCGTGATGCTGAGACATGACTGTGCACCACTGGCTTTCACCGCGAGGTGTTTTAAGCCTGGTACATTGAACTTCTTGTATCGTTCTTGGAGGCGAGCTTCCTCGTCCCAGAGCCAGCGACCGCTGGTATAGCGGTAGAATTCTTCGTAGTCAGGACCTTCCAATGGTTGCAACGGGCCTTCTGGGCAATGAAACAGTCTTTGCAGAAAGCCGGGAAGAATTCGAGAGCGGCATCTCGACAAGCGTGGTGCAATGTGGAAGCCAGCCATATCGCTATCGTAAGTGCACAACCCGGAGCATTCGAAGTGCGTGTCTTATTATTTCATCCAAAACAACACGATTCCGAGATGCTTAGATGGGTTCTGGAGGGAGCCGGGCGCTTGCAGTGGCATTTTTCATCGATTTCTAGGTATGTTTTTATATAAGGTAGTGGAACATGTTTCTTGGACCCAGGGTATCGGAGGTTTAGATGACGGGGCGGCCCGTAGTCCACCCTGGTTTGGTTCAATCCCACCTTACTCCATATAGTATGTGCTATTCTTGGCGAAAGACGTCGTCTGCGTCTAGCGGTGTTCGATGTCTATGAAGTTGGTGAAGCAAAATCCGGGTATTGTGTTCAACTTTGGATCAGCAGACATATTTTAGTCCGTCCAGCATTGTGAAATACTTCGACTGCCCATCGCGCAATTATCCTGAGAACTCCGATGAGTAATGAGATCAAGTGGTCTTCGCTATGGGCCTAAGGGTAAACGCCTGCAGGATTCACCTGCTGATGCTGAAGTTACCAATTGGGAAGTGCTTGTGTTGACGACTGTTTGGCCATGACGATGAAGTATAAAGTATCCATGGATGCTGGGTGGGCCTGAATTGCACGTTCCCGTGCCTCGTCGCTTGCACCGAATTCTTCGCATGATCACGATCCGCGTTTCTAGCATGAGTCCCGGCCCAACCACCGCCGCCGCCGCGTACACTGCATCAGCTGCGGGGCGAGCCAGAGAAACGCATATTATATCTGTTGTTTATGGCCGGCTCACGTCGGAGCTCACAGGGTTGAGCGTTCCAAAGCTTCGACGACGTAAGCATCATCCGTGTGATCTGGCTGATTGACACCGGTGGGAAGCTCGCATGAGCATCTTGTAACTGCATTCTGCTCTGGACAGCTCGTCGTTGCATTGGATGCGACCAGTATCCGTCTGAAATTTCGAGGCTCTCCCCTATAGCTCGATTCTTAGATGGAATCAAAAGCCGAGTGCCTCATCAAGAGGCTTCGCTTGCGTGACCGGGACTGAGTCTCAATGGCAGATATCTTCACACTCATCCGCAGCGTCATGGCCTGAGACAGGGCGGGTTTTTGGAATTGTTGCAGGCTGCAGTTAAGCAAAATTCTCCTGAAGCTTTACCCTTGATGCAGGCTCCGAACCAACGGTTGGTGTTTGACTTTGGCCAAACGCCAGACCATAGACATAAACGGTCCACCCACCCACTCTGCGGCTCTGGAAACAACGCAGATGCCATCTTCATAGTTCATGAGCACCAGTACGCATGAGTCCGCGACCTCCGAAGCGGCAGAGGGCCTCCTGACTTTCCGCTGGCTTGGCCCTGATCATAAAAAGCTCTTCTCATTCTGTTCTCTTCTTCTTCTTCTCTTTCCTCCACACCACTTCCTCTTTTCATGCCGACGAAAGGCCAAGCTCGACCGATCGACGACACTCCGGACAGCTGCACCCTTTGCATTTGGTAAGACTAAGAACAAATGGAGTGACCGTCCCCTCTTTCTAAGGGCCAGGTTCACCTGGCTGCCCGCGCCTGCAGTCCCCCTCTCCCCACAAAGCACTATCGGTACGTTGTGCAGCTGCAAGTTCTTCACAGAACTGGCGCGGGAGGACGCACCTGGGATGTCCTGACTATGGGCCTCCGCATAGTTAGAGTCCCCGGGTCGTGCAATGGGGTCTGCCACGCAGACTCGTTACGGTGCAGCTGAGTCCTCCGGACGTACTGATATCCTCTCACCTCTCGAGCAACATTCTCGAGCCTCTGAATCATTTGTTTTTTTTGTTGGTGTCTGCCAGTCAGCGCCCCATCAGTCGCTTGCTGTTCGCAGCAGGTTCCTGGAGGGGTGTCTCGTCGTCTTTCCATCGTCGTCATCGTCCATCGTCGTCGTCGTCCATCGTCGTCATCGTCCATCGTCGTCGTCGTCCATCGTCCATCGTCGTCGTCGTCGTCCATCGTCCATCGTCGTCGTCGTCGTCCGTCGTCGTCGTCGTCGTCCGTCGTCGTCGTCGTCCGTCGTCGTCGTCGTCCGTCGTCGTCGTCGTCGTCGTCCATCGTCGTCATCGTCGTCCATCGTCGTCGTCATCACACATCATCGCCATCACACATTGCTGCCGTCGCATTCTCCTCTTTACNCTCATGTCATCGCTATCTTCATCCTCGTCTCATCTTTGTTCGCCATGGT